GGTAGGGCTGCACTTTTGGAGCGGACTGAAATCTCTGTCTCAAGATAAGTTGTCCAGAGCTCTAGAAAATGTGGGGGCAGACGTGCAAAGACCAGATACTTCTTGAGAGAAAATAATTGTCACCCTATACAATTCGGTTCAACCCGCCGGGCGATTCGCGCAAGATGCCGCATACGTCGTCGCCCGCTGAGGGAATCAGTGTCCGATCCGTGTCAATCCCCATAGTCGCTTCTCCGGCCAAATCCGACTCGTCCCTTCCGCCCGACTGCCCCAGCTCAGCTCAGAGCACGGTCCCCGTGGGTGGTGGGGGCCCCGGGCGCAAGAGCATTGTGCCGACAGGGTTGCGTTCGCCGTGAGAAACGGATTGGGGTAAAAAGATGCCAGATATCTGTCTAAAAAAAATAAGTCCCTCCCCCACAGAGGACGCACACGCCCGCACCGCCGCCGTGTGTCCCGGTGACTGATATCTCACTACTTTTTTGTGCGCTTCGACGATATTTCGCTACGACGGCCTTATCCCTTTTTTCTGGCGGGCCCCCTCCTCGGTGGCTGCGCAAAAGCGACGGGGCTAAAGAAAAGATTCCTTTTTATTATTTTTCGGGTGCTGCCGGTTGCAGTCTTTGGGAGGGAAAGGGGGATAGGATTTAAGGAGACGCTACTCCAAACTTAAAATTTCAGAAAAATAGTGGCTGAATGTGTTGGGAGACGCAGACAAGCTCCACCCACGTGCCGGGCGCGAGGCGACGCGACCCTCCCTCCCCACCCTTGAGCCCCTCGCGGCACGCGAACCATTCCACGGTGTGTAATCTCAGATTATTGCCGAAAGGGGTGAGACAGCCGAGCGGGGCGGCGCGGCGCGGTGCGAGGCGAGCCCGCCGGGCGCAGGCAGGTAAGTGCCCGCGCTGTGGAGGGCGGAGGCGCAGCCAGCAGTGGCACTGGTGACGCGAGGAAGGGAAAAATATACGGCCAAGCAGAAAATATACAAAAGCTTCCTGACGCGACGTTTCTGCGGTGTATGCACGAGGATTAGGGCAGAGTCGACGAGCAGGAGGGGGAGGGGGTGGCTTGGGAACGGAAGTGGTGGCTGCCGTGGTCAGCCTGTTTGCACAACGACGGTGGCCGACGATAATCCGATCAGAATAGGACAGCCGGAACCAACTCCACCTTGGAGCATCAAGAAAAAAATAAAAAACAAAATAAATGTGACTTTAAAATTTTGGTCTACTTGCAAAAGTTACTACGTTATAAGTCCACACGCTACTGTGTATTTTTACATAGATCGGTTTACGCGGCGTTGCGATTGTCGCAGTAAAAAAAATGCTAATAAAAGCCCAAGAATTGTGCGCAGATTTTTTCCCTTTCCGACAAAGCGAATTTTATAGTCCTTCCGGATTGTGCTCCGTCGGGTCCAGTGTAACGATACAAGCTTCTTTTCGTATTCCTTTCCACTCAAAAACCCACGTTTCCTTTTCAAGAAAGAACTTTTTTCGTCACAAAAAGTGATTCCTACTGCGGCAATATGAAGGGTCGATGCTATGCCATTTTTTTCTCTCTCTTCTTTTTCGGCCAGCGAACCAAGGAGGTGGATGAACTCCCCTCTGCTGCAAATGGGGATGGCGGGGCCGGCCGGTCCGGCCGCAAGGTTCATTGCCTCCCTCCGCGGACCATCGGTTTTTGCACGTTTGCGGCGATCGCCGCATGTAAATGAGTGTTTTGGTTGCGGACAGATAGTCCGTCACTAAACGAAGAGAAGCGAAACATATGCGCGCAGAAATAAGCCGACAACACAGCAAAAGGAAGGAGCACGCTCGATAAATATGTGACATAGACACATGGCTATATTTTAATTCATGCTCGCTGAAGTTGCAAGCACAAAAAAAAAATAATCGCAGTTGTGGGCAACGGGGGTTAGTGTTTATGTTTTTTGCTGCCCGTTGCGACGTATACGTGGTGTGGTCTATCCACCGGGGAGGTAGGCAACCCATTCGACGCCCGATAGGGTCCCGGCCGCCGTCGAGGTAGGCAACTTATTCAACACGTTGGGCGCTCAATCCGTGATCATCTGCCTACAATTTGGTCAGAGCTTCCCTCTTCTTGTGGCTGTCGCTCTTCTTAGCCGGCGAGCGAACCTTTTGGCTGGGTATCTGCGTCGGGTAGCCCGGATGGCCCGGGGGTGGCCCCAGCCTGAGCTGGCGGTCGTGCGTCTGCTCGAGGAAGCCGTACTGGCCGTCCGCCTGAGGTGGGTAGGACGTCGAGAGGGACGTCGGGTGCACCGGGGCCTCGAGATCCGTCCGGGACCCCGACCGGAGCCCAACTCCAGAGCCTGGCTGGTCGTCGAACATCGAGGCAAGTTCCACCTGAAACAAAAACAGCCTCGAAGACGTTAGTTGTTGGAAATCTCGCCAGAATCGTTTCAACGTTTCAGGTTCAGGTCTGCTTGTTATCGTTCTCACCCCGAGGTGCGATGGCACCCGTGCGGCACGACAGGTTCCGATCAGGGACTCGGCCATCTTCATGCGGCGCAGCTCCTGCTCCAGGTGGCGGTCCGCCTCGGTCAGGGACTCGTTGTCCTCCGGGGACTCCGCGTCGAGCGCGGTGCCAGCACCCAGCGCGTGTTCGTCCGTCACGCGGTACACCTCGGCCTCGGCCTCCATGTTCGCCGAGCCCTGGCCGTCGCGGCGCAGGGTGGATGTCGGCGTGATCCTGGAGCGGGCCGCGGACCTGCGCCGGGACTTGCGAGCGATGCGAGCGACGCCGTCCAGGGCCTCTGTCCGGTGCGGCTCGGGGAGCGTCCATGCCGCCTCTTGCACCAGCTGGACAAGAGAGGCCACATTGAGTAGAAGAAGCATGAAATCCCCGTTTCAAAGCACATCAGTAAGACAGTTTTACCGAGAACTTGTGCATGGCGAGCAGGGCAGGGAGAAGGTCCCCGATAGCGCGGTGGAGACCCTGGCGGTGGCGCTGCATGAGCAGGGAGGAGAGCGGCGAGGCCTGTCTCAGACGGCCGTGCAGCGGCTCCCACGTCTCATCCTCCTCGGCCTCGGACCCGGACGGCGACCTGGGCCCGATCGCCAGCGCCGCGCGGTAGACTCTGGCCACGGCCGGCGTCATGGTGCTGCTCGTAGACGACCCCTTGCTGGTCCTGCCGCACGAGCCGGAGCGCGAGCGGGATTGTCTAAGGTCGTCGTCGGCGCCAGCACCACCGGGGCGGTTCTGCCAGCGGGCGGGCAGCGAGTCGCAGGGCAGGGAGAACCGCAGGACGCGGCCGGGGGCTGGCGCCAGGACGGCGTGCACCCCGCCGGGAAGGCGACCGCTCAGGCGCAGCAACCAGCGCGCCCACTCCCAGCCTTTGTCGGCGGCCTCCACCACGCCGTGCATGGGCTGCGCGCGGCCCTGGTCCACCAGGCGGCAGAGGGCCGCGAGTGCGGCCAGCTCGTCGCGCCCCCGCTCGCGCGCCGCGGCCCACAGCGAGTGCAGCCCCGCGGTGCGGTGCGCGGCCTGGGCCAGCGCGCGTAGGTAGCGGCGCAGGGGCGCGGCCAGGGCGCGGGGCGCGCGGTCCGCGCTCGCCAGCAGCCACCGCAGCACGCAGCCCACCAGCGCCGCGTCATCGGCGGGCAGGACCACCCCGGGGTCGGACCGAATCTACGGAGAAACGGTCCAGTAAGCCTCGCGTGTTGGTGTTGTGCACTGTAATGGCCGATACTTGACTCACTGACCGCTTCGAGGAGCAGGTCCACGGCCGCGTTGTACCTGCGGCGGAACACGCTGTCCGCCCGGGCGCGGTTAGCGCGGCCGCGACCGCGGGCATGCTCGCCTCCGCCGCTGGCCGCGCTACCGCTGGAGGCGCGCCGTCGCCGCCGCTGGGGGCTGTCGCCGCTGGCGCTCGGGGACCGGCCGGACCGACTGCGGGCGTCGCCGAGGGAGCCGCGTCTCTGCAGAGCACACCCGGGTCATAAGAGCGATGGTCCTGCTCGGCGGCGGGGTCAGGGTCACCACGGTGTGGCGGGCACTCACGGCGAGGGCGTGCGTCCTGGCCTGCTCCAGCACCACGGCGACGAGGCACGCGACGTCCTCTGCGTCCGGCGTCACGGCCGCGTCGCTTGGGACCTTCTTGGGGTCGGAGCCGTCCGAGCTGTTGGAGCGCAACGTGCCGGTCGAGGACGCCGACGACAGCGTGGCGAACGGGTGGCGCCGCATGGTCCCCGGGAACCAGGAGTGCGTCGACGGCCCCTGCGTGACAAACGGCAGAGTGTCAAACCAGTCGAGTCGCGCCCGAGCAGTACTTGGCGATGACGAGAGGAGCAGCCCGCACCTCGATGCGCATCGCGCGGCACAGCAGCAGGCCGCGGAGCAGCGCCCCGATGTACTGCAGCTGCCTCGGCGTGAAGTGCGCCGTCTCCGCGGCCGGGCCCGCGGGGCCAGAGCCGCCGCTAGGCACGCGGAAGCCCAGGCGGCGCGACCTGCACAGAAAAAAGTGTAATTATTTAGTTACGTGCGGGGGGGGGGTGTTCTCGGACGAGCACCCGGCGTCGTCCTGCCCCTCACCTCGTGGCTGCAGGGGGTGCGCTGTCCTTGACGGCCCCGTTCCAGGCGGGGAGCAGCACTTCCTCCAGGCGCGTCCAACTGTCGCCAGCAGCCGCATCCTCGCCCGGCCAAAAGGTCCAGCTCTGCAGGGGTAGTCAGAGACGGGGTGACACATTTATTAGACTGTTTATTTTATTTTTTTCGGCGGCCACGGTGCCGACGGTCCGAGCCCCCGAAGTACCTGCAGGGATTATGACATCCAGCAACCGACGCCGACAGAGGGAGTTGGTGCGGAGGCGGTCGCTATCAAGGTTTTTGCACCCAGAGCACCTCAGTCGGTCCGTTTGTCTCGTAGCGAGAAGGTCGTCGTCGAGAGGAGCGGCTGATATTCGCAATCAGTACACCGCGCCGTAAGCAACATGGAGGAGCTTCCGAGCCGCGCCGAGGAGCAGGGCGCCGTGGACGGGGACCCTGCGCACCATGCGCGGTCAGTCTGCGAGCCGTGTGCGATCATCGCGGAACTGCGCCGACGCCTGCAGTGTCATTGTGAACCGAGCGGATCAAGCGTCGTCTTGAACGTGGCTCCGACGGCCGAGCCCCCGTCGTCAGACCGACGACGCGAGCCAGATCCTAGCACGGCGGCCGAGGCCCTGCCCCGTCCATGTGGCACCCACCGAGCTTGGACCCGTCCGATCCCTTTGGAACATCCAAGTGGTTCCAGGGCCTACACTACGATGACGGTGCACCTCCCGCGGCCGCGGACCCACCCGTCCGCGGACCCGTCTCCTGCCCGGGATGTACAATTTCGAGAGCGGTTCTCATATGAAGCCAACGTTCGTAATCGTGCAGGCGCCACCGACAGCCCCTCCCGAAGGTGCCGGTGCCGGCCGAACCCCGAGCGCCGCCGCCGACGACGCTAACGTCCACTGCGGCCCGCCCTGGGGACTAAAGCCCGCCCTGCAGAGACAATGCGCCGGGGCCAGGGGCGCGAGGCCGGCGGCCTCTGCTGGTAGGGGGCAGGCAGGGGCGGGCGGCTCTTTTGTGCCATCCTCCGCCCCCACCCGTCTCTCTCCTACCCTTCTAGCCCGGCCGGGGCCGAGTGCGGGGGGTGGGGGAGGGGCCGCATCAAAGGGATGCTGCACCCTGCATCCAGGGCGGCTCGGTCAGTCCGTCGTCTCCTGTCGTCGAGAACACATCGCAGTGGCAGAACGCACCACAATGTTGAACTACGAGGAATACCTCAGGGCGGTTCGCCGAGGCATCTTAACTTTTGTCCGGTATGCGCGGCCAGGGCGGCCAGTGCGCGTGCGCCAGGTGATCACCGTGTTCCCTGACGACTACTTCATGGGCCCCCGCGACAACGACGACCTGCCCGGCCTACCGCCCAGACCCGGGCGCCTGGCGAGGTCACCGCAGCAGCGTCCCGGACCGCTCACCCCAGAGGAGACATTCCGTGATTGGGAGGTCGATCATCTCGGAGGGGTGAAGCTCGTCAACGACAACGGCGTCAGTCCGCCGCCAGTGGCCCTGGACCACTTCGAGAGGCCTGCACAGGCACCACTCAACTATCAAATCCGCACCGGACTCCTATGTCAAGTGGAAGAAGAGTGAGGGTGCTTCCATTGGAGTTTGTTTAATTAAGTTCGGTATTGTTTGGTGTCTTGTTTGAGACTTTGCATGAGAACATCTACTCGCAACTGGATCTTATCACTTCATGGCCAAGGAGTATATTACGTAATTTATTTATTATTTTTAATTTAATTTTTCATTTCTAAAAGAGCTACAGTTGTGGTGCCCAAGGGAGGGAATATAAACTTAGAGGACGTGCTTTGTATTGTTGTAACCTGCTACCTTTTCTAAGGCCAATCTGATCATGTGCTTTAACATTGATAATATGAAAAATAGTTCCAAGACTGCTTGATCATGTTGTTTGAAACCATGTGGTTGTGTAATTATTTGGTAACCTGTTGACAGCTGTTTAAAGTAGCTCAATAAAATAGCTTTTAGATAACAAACCTAGAATAGCGTACTTCTTAAGCCCTCATCTCATCACCTTTGTTTGACAACATTAGAAACTTATCAAAAATGGGCTAGAAAGATAATTTCTCAACGTGTTCTCCAAATCTTAACTGCAGACAGAAAACTGAAGAAAGTTTTTCCTTATTTGACAGGACAATTGGACAAGACTAAAAAGATGTTCGCTAATCGCAAAATTTTGAACAAACTGAAAGAAATATAAGTATTTTCCAAGGAGTACGTCCAATTTGGGAAATGGGAGTATGCAATACAGTCACAAAAAATCTCTATCTCAAAAGAAAGTCACAGAAGTTGAGGAGTGTAAGAATTAGTTGGAAAAAGTAAAAGAAAACTCAAAACAGAAGTCAATGAAAAAATCTGTCCAAATGTGTGAAATAATCAAAGAAAAGTCACACTAAATAGAAGTAAAAGTTACCGAATCTTCAAACATTCCAAAACATGTTCGCACGCTTCCCAAAGCAAAAATATCAGTCACAAATAAATGTCACTCAAGTCAAAGGTAACACAAAAAGTCAAAAATAATATCATAACAGAAATCATGGCAAAAATTTGTCTAAAGGGAGTGCGGCCACTTTGGGAGATGGGAGTACGCAATACAAAAGGTCACAAAAAATCTGCCACAAGTCAAAAAATAATAAATTTCAAAAAAGTTGAAGAAAAATCCAAACAAAAGTTATGGCAAAAATCTGTCTCAACTAACAAAACGAGAAAATAAAGACAAAAAAAACAACAAAAAACACGAAAGAACGAAAGAAAACGTCACTCCAAAATGTAAACAAATACCAGGTGGCTGATTAACCCCGCGCACTCCTGTAGTTAGACTGTACAGCCACCTGGTACATTATAACTCAATGAACGTTTACTTTCACACGAACTTTCACACCAAAATATTTACTTACCTCCTGGGATCCCCGCCGGGGCTCCCCGTGAGCGCCGCCGTGTCCGAGGCTCTGCGGGATGGCCGCGGCCGAGCAGTCGACGTGCAGGCGTCGCAAGAACGCTGCCAGGGCGGCGGCGTCCCCCAGGAGGGCGTCCTCGGACAGGGGAGCGCCCTGGCGCGCGCTCGCGGTCAGCAGGTGCAGCGATGGGAACAGGTAGCTGCGCTCGCTCGCCCCGCGCAGCACGCACACCTGCCAGAATGTTCATAAAGCACCTGTAGGGCTGTCTGTTCAGGCGCGGGGTGCTCGCAAAACAGGTCAAATAGCTCACCAGCCTGTCCAAGACCGCGATGACGTGCAAGGGCGCGCTGGCGGGCAGCCACCGGCCCATGTGCTGGTCCGCGTCGCCCTCGTCCAGGCCGCCGTCCTCGAGGCGCCACAGCAGCAGGGAGCGCAGCGCGTGCCTGGACACGGCGCGCAGGGCCAGGGCGCGGCGCACGGCGCCCAGCCCCCGCAGCGCGCGCGACACGGCGCTCCGCGGCCCGAAGTGGCGCAGTAGCCCCGCCTCGGCGCCCGGCGCCCACACCTGCCAGGTGCACGGCCGGTCGTCGCAGCGCAGCAGCGGCGGCGGCCCGCTCGCCACCAGGAAGCAGCCCGTCGTGGCCACGTGCTGGTACAGCAGGCAGTCCGGGTGCGTGAGCGGAACCCGCGCAGGCAGGTCCGAGCCGCGCGGCCAGCGGTCCACGCCGACGCCGAGCACCAGCTTGACGAGCACGTCGCGCGTCAGGCCGAGGCGGAGCCGCACCCAGGGCGAGCCCTCCACGATGGCGATGCGCGCGTCCCGGGGGTCCGGGTACCGGTCCGTGCCCGAGGCGAGGAACAGCTGGCCGTCGGCGGGGAGCGACAGCAGGTCGGCCAGGACCGCGGCGTCGACCACCTTGCCCGGCGCGCCGCACAGCCGGGACTCGTCCACCTGCAGGGGCGAGTGTGGCCCGCGAGGTCCGCGGGGCGCGGGGGTTGGCAGGGGGACGCCCCCGACCGGAGGCTTGGACGGCCTCGCCGCCGGCGACGAGACGGGCGCCGCGGCAGCGGCCAGCAGCTCCACAAAGCGCTCCTGCACCTTGTCCCTGGGGACATTGGAAGCTCCATGACGCACAGTCCTCGAGCCCGAACGCGAAGAGCGCCATTTCTCTGTGTGAGTGTACCCACCTCCTTATGAAGCCGTTCGGACTGAGGAACTCGGCCCACTGCTCCATGCCGGAGGGGCTGATGCGCAGGCGGGCGTAGCCCTGCGGCACGGCCTCCTGCGCGGCGCCCTCTAGGACGCGGCACGGCGCCGCCGGGTCTCCCGGGTAGAGCGCGGGGGTGGACAGCGCGTCCAGGCGCACCAGGTACTCCAGGGTGAGGCCCTCGCTCTGCAGACAGGCGGCTCAGGTCACCGACACAAACAGCACAATTGTAAACGTAACGCGACCGCGCAAGGGGTGGTGCGGGAACTCACCTCGCCTGACGTCCGGCGGTCCAGGCACACGAGGTACTTGGAGGAGAAACGCGGGTCCGCGGCCCCGACGGCGCAGAGCAGTCGCTGCACCAGCCGCTCGCAAACGGCCTCCACGCCGGGGGCCACGTCACCTAAGCGAGAACAAACATCGGTTAGTAAGGACGTTCCCTTCGACGGCGACCCTGCTAGAGGTCAACACTCACCTTGCAGCGGTAAGTCGTCTCGGATGATGTCGGCGAGCACGGCGTCAGCTCGGGCGAGCTGCGGGGCCGTGAACTTGATTGCGTCGTGCTCCAGAGTCAGCGAGTGGGTCCCCTTGGCCCCGCGGGCGCGCCGGCCGCGAGGTCCCCGTCGAACGCGAAGGCCCTCGAAACAGCCGCCGCCCGTGTCCTCGTCGCTGCTGCCGGGCCCACCCCCGGCGCAGCCGCCCCCGCGGCCCGCGCCACCCCCCATGGCCAGGGAAGCCTTCGGTCGAGAACCAGGAGGGCCTAAACTGGTAGAACGTATCTGGAGGGGGAAAGGAACATTTTGTCAACAAGTTGCCGTCGTGGGGTGCGTGGCGTGCTTCGCGTGCGCCGAGCACTTGGAGTGCGGGCGCGGGAGGGGCGCGAGGAGCGACGCGTTGATGGGTCCCCACGGCGCCCCACCCGGGGACCGCACCACACCCCCGCGAGCACTGTGCGTGCCGAGGGATTATCTGGCGCGAGTCGCGCGGGCGGCGTCGGCACCGGCGCCTCGGGTGCCACTGGCGCCATCAAGTTTGAGAACAATCGATTTGACAAGGTACAGTCCTCCACACAATCGCCACCGTGCCGATCCGCTCCAGGCTCCAGGGTGCAGAGCAGCGGGACGCGGGGGAAAGGAGGAGGGGAGGCGGTCAGGAAGTGACGACTACAGCCAACACGAAAACCATACACGCACTCACTCTTCAAGTCTCCGGTGAACAATTTAACGACAAATCGTAGAACAACGCACACAATCACTTTCACACGTTACCCCCCCCCCCCGCAAAAAATAATGAATGACAACAAGCCGCACATTACCTTTCGGAAACACGGTTGCAGCTTCACTTTTTCACTCGATTCACCACTGACTATCCCGTCATCCGATATGTTTGGCGCCCGCGGACGAGTCGCCTCCCCGGCGGCTTTGCGGTGTCAGTGCGACAAGAGAAACCACACCGTTATTACTGGGCTCTGTGTCTCGTACGCGACAAACGCCTCTGTCTTTTCGTGTTTGCGGCGTCATCCCGCCGCTTGCATACTGCGGTTCTATTTTTTTGATTTTTGTTTTTCGAAGCCCGGCTAGGATGTCGTAGGCATTTTTTGACATGTTGTTGCAACCAAAGGGAAAGCATCCGGAACAAGTTAGATTGTGTCTCCCATTTTCATTATCTAGTGGTAATCCTCAACAGCAAGAATGCCCGCGCGCGTGCTGGTGCGGTATGGGCGACGCCCATATTCGACATTCGGCCACCTTACGACATGGTTGTAAAAAAATAGACGCACCATCTCCACTTTTTACCGCCCTATCGCTCTATCCTTATCGAAACAACAACCACCGCGTTTGGTATAGCTTTTGCCCACATACCTCACTCACACACACACAGCTCGTGGCGGCTCCTTTGTAACGTGTCGCGGTCCTCGCGCCCCAACGCCGCGGGTACTTGCACAAAACGAACAATGGTCTGCTGATTGCCCCCGGCCCCTCCCGCCCCCGCCGCACTTCCTGTCGCCGCGCACCTCAGCCACCTATCCCATTCGTCGTCGTCCAGCCCGCTAATACACGCGTGCGATTCCCATTTCTCGACCGCATGTTCAACATGATCCAAACTGCGCCCCATACGTTCTAAAGTTCCTAGACATGACGTGAAACAGCAGGAATGTTCGAAACAAGAACCACTGAGCACGCGCGTAATTCTGAACCTTGCAAAACACACACACACACACACATGTGCATACCACAGCTGAAACCCCGTCTCCGTCGGCGTGCCGGTGCTCACCTCTCACACGCACTGCTCGGGCGCGCCGGCGCCTGCCTGCTTCTGGCTCTGCTTGGCCGTGTCCAGGGCACGACAGCACGTCGCCGAGCACCGCCGCCGCCCGGGCCGCTGCCGTATTGGTGACTGACGCGGTCCCGCGACCGCGCCGGCATGGCCCACTGCGTGCGCGCCATACCGCGGCCGCCGCGCGCCATCGCGACGAACGCCCTCCACTCCACTCCACGCCGCCCGCCCGTCCCCGCCCCGCTCAGCAGCTTCCGGACATGTTTCGCTATGGACCCCCCGAGAGGTGACCACTGGCCGCGCTCCACATGGCTCCACACCGTCCCGTCCGCGCGCCCGTCCGGAACACGCAGCGGCGCCACCGGAAGGCCCGGGCCGCGGCCGCGGACCGAGCGACAGGCGCCCAGGGTAGGCCACGCGCTCCGTGCGGCCGCCACAGCGCTGCCTACCCTCGCAGGCTGACCGGGCCGCCGCGGCACCGGCACCGACTCACGCTGCCGCTGCCGCAACGCGTCTACTTCCGGTCGGCAGAGACACGCACTTCCGGCGGCCAGGACGCCTCATTCACTCACTCACCTGCGGCGACGGCTGGACGCTGTGGTGGAAAGGGTGGCTGGTCGGCTGCGCGTCCTGGTAGTACCCCATCTGCGGCAGCGGCGGCAACTTGAGCACGTACCGCGCCATGCTGGGGTGCGGGTGGTGCGGTGCAGCAGACGAGGCGCTCCGTCGGCGCGGTCCTGGTCCTTCCCCGGTGCGCGGAGCACTGGACGGGCGGGCCGCGGGGGCCGCGAGCGGGCGCCACCAGGACCGCGGGGGACCACGCCCGCCAGAGGAGAATGCGGCCGGGCCGCGGCCCAAAAGCGCCTCGCCTCGGCGACCTTCGATTGCGAAGAGAGGTGACGTCCGCGGGTCGCATCCGGTGCATACGGGAGTGACAATGAAGGCCGGCGGTAATGGGGGAAGCAGGGCCGCGGCGGCCTGTGTGTCGAGCCTCTATCGAGTCGATGACGGCGAAGTGGTGCGATGTCCCATTTCACACCGGACCGCGCCTCGGCGGGCTCCCACGGGCGACTGTAGAGGGGTGGGCGAGGCGCCAAGTGCCTCGTCCCCCTGCAGCCCCTTTCGGCCGCGGGGGTGCAGGCGCGGCGCGGAGAGGCCCGGCCAGCCCACCCCTTTCACTATAGCCTGCGGTTGGTGCTGCTTCGTCCCAGGGAAACGGATTTTGTCAAGATGACATCATTTTGATGTCATTGTCAAGATTTGGTCATTTTCGTTTTGACGTCATTTTGACATCATATGACATCCAATGATCTCAAAATGACATAAAAACGTAAAACGAAAATGACTAAATCTTGACAATGACATAAAAATGATGTCGTCTTGACAAAATCCTTGCACTCTGGGATCAGTCCGTACAGCAAACAAAGAGGGTGGGGTGCCACAAAGTCGCCAGTTTTGATAAATTTCTTTTTTAATATTACAATTGAATCTTACAGAGAAAGACACAACTAAAACAAAACAAAAGTGTAACAAAAAATTTTAGTTGAAAGGTAACCAGGAGACAGAATATTTTAGAAACCATACACAGGAAAGATTTTACTTTATCACAAATATTTGTGAAAAGAAAAAAAAAAACACAACAAACAATCAACAACACAGATAATCAAAACAGTAAATAAATTAGAAGACAACAGCCTTTGATGTCACAATTTATCATTTCTTAATTGTAAGAATAAATTTATTTAAATGAAATTAAAGATATAGTATATCACAGAAGATTACAAAATTTCTTTCTTTAGTTTTCTTAGCACACCATTTTTTTTTCTCAGGCAAGTCGCAAGATTTACCAGAACCATATTAGTATGGGAGGGGTATAGAAACCCCACAACACTATGCATGCATCATTACACCATGCTACATAGCGATCATCCTTTCTCAAAATGCCCTTAATGCAATACTTCCAAGTTTTGTCCACCCAACTCCATACTTCCACATCCTCTCCATTTCGTAAGATGAATAGATCCCCCATTCCTTTGGTAAGAAATTTTGTGGATGGTTCAACCTCAAATTTATTGAATTGGATTTTACCAGTGCTGTGCAATACTGACCCAATTGTATTTCCAGACTGGTACAATATTGAATCTCCGAACAAACCCAAACTTGTGTCCTGGAAAGTCAGTCCTAAGGGTGGAAGCACACAGTGTTTTCCTCCTTTTACACAATCCCATATTGTGAAAATACCTTGCTTATTAACGCTGACAAGAAAGTTGTAATTAACATGAATACGCATGATTGTTGAGGTATCCTTCAACTGCTTTACACAAACATCCTTTTCCAAGCTGTATTCCAATATAACATTACCGACAACATTGTTCTCAAGAGCAACATAAATGACACTAGCATGGGAACCAAGAGCAACATCAGAAATTTTGTATGTTTCGTAAGGTAATTGCAATGATTTTAGGTTTCCTCCAGGTTTCAATGACAAAACTTCAACTGACTTAATTGTACCCCAAAAAGCCACAACAGGGTCTGGACATGCTCTAGCATATCGAAACTCATCCTCCTCAAAATACTCATATATGTTTTCTACAAACCAATCATCTATGGCTTTGTCATTGCCACTAGGGGACAATGGGGGTAGTTCAGGAGCTTTATCAATCATGGCCTTAAAATAACATAAACTATATTTCCCAGAGTCATTCTTGTGATACACCTGTAAAAGACCTAACTGAATCACTGCAAAAGAAGTGCCTTCAAGGAAAATCTCAGATATGACTGCATCCGAAAATAAACAAGAAACATACTCCAAAAATTCGGGTTTCTCCTTTGCTTGCTTCCAAATCGTAACACCACCAGTTTCGTCTCCTAGTACAACATACATACGATTTAGGTCCATTGATGTGATAAGAACATGGCCTAATTGTTCTGACACTATTTCATCAAATTCTTGTACAGCATAGTAGCCATTTTTCCAGTTGTTGTACAGGTGTGCACATTGAAGAAAGTCAATGTGCCAGGAACATAGTGGAGACAACCTCGATCCTTCTTCTTGTTCTGGAGCTTTGAAGTTTGGTTTGACCCTTGAAGTTGTCTGACTCCAAACTTCTGGTTGATCTATAATCTCTGCCCAACCACGCTGTAGGCAGAGACGTCTCCATAACTCATTGCGATTAATTTCTTCTCGCCACTTAATGCACACTAAGGAACAGTTCGCAATATCAGATGCCGGTAAATACTCAAAAATCATTGACAAGATCTCAGGTGGAAGGAAAGGCTCCGCTTCTTCCAGCATTGTAGAAGAGTTTGAAGAACTTGTATGGATCTAAAATAAAATAAAAATTACTTGTCAGTAGGGTGAGCAGAAGATGAAAGTGAGGCAATGTAAGAGATGCAGACAATATGATGATGTTCCATTCAAAAGATAGGTACCTAATACTATATGAGATTTACTTTGGTTCATGTGGTTCCGAAACTAAATTTCATTCCCTCTCACTCATTCTAGAGTTTGGTTATACAAGCAGACAATGTAGCGAAAAAACTACCAAGCAACTGTCATTGAAGGCCAATGAAAGGGTGGATGAAAACAACAAACAAAAACAAATTAAGTGGCGCCATCTCTCGGCAGCGGGCGATAGCCGATGATATTCACGGCCCTGCCGCGAGACTAGGGCACGATCTCATGAGAAACTTAGCGAGCGCACTATTAGATATGCGAAATCTATTGTCCGAAAAGGAATCGCAAACCACAATGGCGCCAAAATATAAACGTAAATTTCAAAGTAATGGTGACAACAATACATTGAGCCTGGACTGCAGGGGGCGGAGCTTCGATAACTGTTTGAGAGTTTGATAACTGCCATATATTTACAAACACGAGACGTCTCTGAGAGGCCTCAGGAGGTTGTGTCGTCTGGCGTTATGGAGGTGGGTGAGGTCCTTCCCTGGGTGTTTTCGGTGTGCACGGTCTGAGCCGCCGAGATGGTGACCACCACGATTGTGACGACAGGCAGCGAAGCGGACGTGGGGGCGGCTGTCCCGCCGCAAGGCAGCCTTCCCGCCGGCAGACGACCCGCGCCGCGAGGAGAGCAAGATGAGGAACGTCCTGAGCCTCATGGACCTGACGCTGCTGGGCGTGGGCGCCACCCTGGGCACGGGTGTCTACATCCTGGCGGGGCAGATCGCCGCCGAGACGGCGGGGCCCGGCGTCGTGCTGTCCTTCCTGATCGCCGCCATCGCCTCTCTGCTCGCCGGTGAGCCATGGTCTTCCCCCGGTGAGCAATGGATCTCGGACCGGCCCACCAGCCCACCTGACCCGACCCGTGCGGTGCGCAGCGCTGTGCTACGCCGAGCTCGCCGCCGTGGTGCCCACCGCGGGCACGGCCTACTCGTACACCTACGTGGGCGTCGGGGAGTTCACGGCCTTTTTCGTCGGCTGGAACCTCATACTGGAATACGCCATAGGTAGGGTGATGAAGGGAAAAAGCGAGCTAGCCACCCGTGACTCCCTTGTGTCCATAAACACTCAAAGTCCCCGCCGCGCCCTCAGCCACGGCGAGCGTCTCTCGCGCCTTCTCCAACTACGTTGACGTCGTGACCGGGAATGCCATTCGGACGTGGAGCATGCGCAGCGTGCCTCTCCGAGGCTCCTTCCTCGCGGAGTACCCGGGCTTCTTGGCCGTGGCCTTCATCTCGCTGCTCGCCGGTACGTCTTTCGAGTCTGCGGCGGCATCACACTCGACGTCCATTCAACATATAATGACATTTACGCGACATTTCGTTCAATATCGTCCACGTCTCGGTCACAGTGCTGCTGGCGCTGGGCGTCAAGGAGTCCTCGCTGTTCAACAACGTCTGCTCCTTCCTCAACCTGCTCACCGTCCTCGTCACCGTGGTGGCGGGCGCCTGCACGTGTAAGGCCAAGTTCAATACGACCGATGCCAAACACCTGTCCTTCCAGCAGGTTAGTCTGATATGAACTCGTGTCAAATTGACAGCCAATGTCGCCAACTGGAGCATCGAGCGCGAGGACATCCCCGCCACTGTCTCCGAGCAGCACGCCGGGGCGGGGGGCTTCCTGCCGTTCGGAGTCCCGGGCGTGCTGTCCGGCGCCGCCAAATGCTTCTTCGCGTACGTGGGCTTCGACACCATCACGGCCTGCGGCGAGGAGGCCAGGAACCCAAAGCGAAACATCCCGCTCTCCATTCTGCTGACGCTGGCCGTCATCTTCGTCGTGTACCTGGCCGTGTCCGTCGTGGTGACCATGATGGTGCCCTACTACGAGCAAGTGCGTGGCTGTGCCTCCCGCGTCTCGGCCGTCAGCCACCCCGACTCTCTCTGACCTCCCTCTTGAAAGGCGTGCTCGGCAGGACCTTAACGCGCCCTTCCCGTCGGCGTTCGAAAAAGTGGGCCTCCCGGTGATCAGTTGGATCGTCACCATTGGCGCCATGTTCGCCATGATCACCAGGTTCGTGTCTCGACTCCATTCACCGTGACATGGAGACGGCTGTCTAGTCTAACTGTGGACTTCCCTGCCCGCGGCGAGCAGCATGGTGGGCTCCATGTTCCCGCTGCCCAGGGTGCTCTTCACGATGGCCGCCGACGGCATGCTGGTCCGCTCGCTGGCCCTCGTCAGCTCCAGGACCGGGACGTCCCTGCGCTCCACGCTGCTGGCCTGGCTCATGTCCAGCAGCATGGCGCTCCTCTTCAACCTCGAGCAGCTGATCGACATGATGTCCATCGGGACCCTCACCGCCTACATCATGGTGGCCGTCAGCGTGGTGCAGATAAGGTCGGGCCGAGTGCGGACGACCGCGCGCGAGGTACACGACAGAGTCCTGAATAAGGGTGGGCGTTCCAGGTACCGCGGGGAGGCGCGGCCAGGCGACATGACCAGGATGTCCTTGGGGAGCATCCTCAAGGCCGTGTTAAATTACGAGAGGATTCGGGAGCCGTCCTCTGTCACGTCTTGGGTGGTAACCGGGGCGCAGCTGCTTTTTCGTAAGTTGTGGCGACCAACAGGAGAGACACTCTTAAAACTCGTGTAAATAAGGTGGTTCTACTTACAGTGATAATCTGCATACCAGCCGCTTACTTTCTGGTGCGACTTCATGAGATTCAATCGGACATGAAGATCGCTTGGGCTGGCGGAATTGTGCTATCCTTGCTCATGGTCACCCTGTGCGTTGCTCTCCAGCCTCGCTCACCTAAGATGGAGCACAACACTTACACATTCAGGGTAAATTCTATGTGAAATTATGTTTCAAATTTGTTCATTGGACACAATACGTTTAAAAACTTAATGCATTTCTTTAGGTACCACTTGTGCCATTTTTACCTTATCTCAGCATCTTTATCAATATGAGCCTTATGATGATGTTGGATTGGAGAACTTGGACCAGATTTGGTGTTTGGTTGCTGATAGGTACAATCAACAATCTTCTCTATGAGCACAGTAATTTATCTTAATTACATTATTGATGTAATCCATTTATGTTTTTTTTCCCTCTCATTTCCTTTTAGGTTTTATTGTTTATTTTCTATACAGTGTAAGGCACAGTACCTTGGCTGAAATTCAACGTTTGGAGAGGAAGCCTGGGTCACAAGATAACTTGAGTACATTGTCTGAAGGATTGGCCATAAGTACCCAGCAGCAGCTTTTAAATGACTCAGCTGGAACAGAACTGAACAACAAAAATTAATGCAGATGTGCATTTATTTATTCGATCATTTTTACCACAATTACCAACCAAAAATATTCTTACAATTACAACTTTATCTAGTTGAGGTCACACAACTTAATTCTATACCTTTATTATACAGCTGACTTCAGGTTTAATTAATAAGTTATAACAAAATATCCAATATTATCACAAATATCACAAAACTGTGAGCACAAATGTCAGTCAGTTAATGGCAGTGAAAAGACAAGTACATAAGTGCATTCACTTATAAATGATGATCAAAACCTTAAGTACAAAATGAGAAACTGAATCCATACAAAATCGGCCCTCAAAAAAAAAACTAGTAGTGTTATTAAAAAAAGAAAAATCTTAAATGTGATTATGGCACAGCCAACTGAGTGCATAACAATGTTAACTATTTAACTGATTGAGGACATCAAACTTTCTTTCCAGTTTAAAACCTTTGAGATAGTAGTTGTAGCTAGACCACTGTAAGAAAAGACACAAACCACAGAGCCCAGTAGCAAATAGCACAAAGTTGTGTAAATAATTGCATATCTACTTTGCCACACTGACTCCAAGAAGGAAGTCGACAAAGCAGACTTAGTTTTCAGTTTGCCTTTGGTTGACTTTGGAGAAAAATCAGCGTCATGGTCAGAGTCACAGAAACGAGAACTGGTGCTAAATGACCGAGGTGAAAATTGAGAACCATAACTTGAATTCGGAGATCTGTTGGTAAAAACTGGGGACTGGGGAGGTATCATGAACATACCTGGGCTGCCAAACTGGTTGACCATTTGATGGTACATCCCATAAGGTGTGTAAATCACTTGTGATATGGGAGAAGAAGCAACAGGAGATGCCATGTTTCCAAATCCAGAATTTGCCACCAAGGGATTATGAGGTACACATACTGATAACATGTTCTGAGGTGATGAAAAATTCCATTGAGGAGCTACAGGTTGAAAAGATGATGGAGGAGAGAAACTCCGCACAGATTCTATACCAGACCGGATAGTAGCTTGGCTATGAACAGACCCACTTGGTGAGACTGATCGGGTGAAACTTTCATTGACAGGGTCTGCTTTCTCAGCAGAAACAAATGAAGAATTTAATGAAGAATTATTACCAGTATTCTTCCATATACCAGACCTCCTGGATTCATTCATAATGTCTTTCTCAGCAGAAACAAATGAAGAATTTAATGTAGAGTTATTGCCAGTATTCTTCCATATTCCAGACCTTCTGGATTCATTCATAATGTTAGTCAGTTTAGGAGGACACAACAATGAACTTCTCTTTTTCTCAGGAACATACATTTTTGCCTTAATTTCAGAAGATGCCCTATGATTTTGTCTACCTTTTGCAGAACCTATTGATAGAGTCTCAATGAGGCTTTGAACATCTCCATCTTGGGATGTTTTTTTCTTGCTTGATATAGATGGCTGCGAACCATAACATGAATCAGCACCATCCAATGTAATAGAGTCGGGGTTGGAGAATGCAGAGTCCACAGATGCATCACTTCTATTGTCCTCTTGAGAGAGAACATTGTGAAGGTCCTCAGTTCGAGACAAATTTAAACTCTCAGCCGATGTGAGTGTTCTGCTAGAAGATATTACACTTGCAGATCTTGAAGGAAGTGACAAATAACTTGGACTTTCGAGTGGTGTAGTTTCTTGTCTAAGAATTGGTTGTAATAGCCTTTGTGATGGTGGTTGGGCGTAAAGTTGAGTTGCATTTAAGGGTGGTTGGGCTACTGGGCGGATGATTTCCGGTTTCCTTGGGTACAGAAAAGGAAAAAGTTAATACAAAGAAAACATTTTTGTTTTTATAAAAATTAGAAAGGGAAAGAAATGTTGTCCAACCTATAAGGCTTGGATGAGTTGATTTTGTGTTTTTTTTGTGGAGATAATTTCACTTTCAGCGAATTCATCTCTTGCCATGAGAAAGCCACAATCAGCAGAGAAAAGATGACCTAGATGCATAAAAAAAAATGTACAAGACCATTTTAACTCAGTTCTAGCAAAACATAATACAAATATAAATATTGATATCATTACCTGGAGGCTCTGAGATAATTGTAAATAATCAGGCTCACTTTTCAGTTCATGAAAGAAAACAGTTCCTGCAAATGCTAGCCAAAGGAAGGCAGATGGTCTTAAACCAGAGTGCCAACTTGATAGTCCTTTCAAAGTCAGTCCAGCAATACACAATGGTACAACATGAATGCCAACTAAGTTTAAGTATGGCTCAAAATTCTTGATCAGAATCTTTGAAAAAGTATGAGAGGGGGGAAGAGTGTTCACTTCCTCTTTCAAACAGATAGGAGAAGATTGTATGAAAATTGATATTGAAGGTAAAGGATAAGATTTGGAATGAGCATGGACCACATATCTATCAAAATTCATAGGTTTAAAAAAGATATGGTCAGATGAAAATGTTGAAATAGTAAATGCTGCAATAGCTATAGCAATTGTGATGTTCATGAACGTTGATGTCTGAGCGATAGATTTCTTGAATAATTGCTGGAAAGATACAAAACGATAAGAATAAAAGAATCAAAAGATCCACTATACAGGTAATAAAGTATACACACCCGAGGTTCTTTAAAACTTCGATTCTGATTCAGCTTCCCTGTCAACTGTAAATTCATATCAAGAATGTGTGTTTTTTTGAGAGACAATGTGTCCTCCAGCACTGATTCGCATGTTGGACAAAGCTGGTATGCTCGCTCTAGATGGTAGCTGTAAAGACAATTATGAAAGTAAAACACAAGCAAAAGCCTACAGATTGCATTACACAACATATATCATACCTGAAATTTTCTATTTCTTGGTCAAAATTATTAGGGTTGATTGGTTGAAATGATGCCAGTTGAGCAACCTTCATTTCTTGATTTTTGTTGCAGTCCTCGCACAAGCCATTGGATGGTTTAGAGTAGGGCTTTGGACTTGTGCAAAACGTAACTCCTCCATGGTGTGACGATTCCCATTGTGCAGGTATGTCTCTGTTGTAATCACCGTCCTGAACAAATGCAGGTACAATCTATATTCCCATTTAAGGAGCAAGGTCAAGAGTATTTGAGATAGAAATTACCGATTTGAAACCGTTGTATTGTTCACAGTGCTTGCACATCCATCCATCTCGACATTTCTGGAGGATGACATTATTCAATCCACAAAACCAGCAGTTAACCTTCAAATGTGATCTACAAAGGAGGAAATGAACGTACATTTGTAGTGGAATAAATGTGCATACTGCAGTCAGTCTACAACCTTACTTTATTTGAAAAATGTATTTACGTGGTAATCAGGTTGTTACATTACTTACCTCCTCCAGTATCGAAAAAAAGCATACAACACCGGCAGCAGTGCTCCAAGACCAATAATAAATGTGTAAGGCATAATTCAACCGATAATTGGAGATCTTGACAACCTTAATGACTCACAGAAAAATAGAAAGGAAATCTTGTAAAAAGATAACCTTAGACTGTACGAAACACACTACATTAAATATTGGATATTTTGAGGAACACAGAAAGAAGCCCGCCACCCCATGGGACTAAAGTTAGGTTAGGATCAACGGGACGGCACCCTCCACACCGACACCGAAGTCGAGGTTGGGGACTATTCACACTAAGAGTAGTGGTGGGGGAACGATGCGCATTGCAGTCCGGTTTACGTCTCGTATGAAAAATAAAACTGTAGTGAAAGAAGACTTCGGTGTGTCGTAGCTCGTAGAAGCAGAAGCGAGCAGAAAGCCATAGAAGACTTGTTTGACATTTGTTATGAATGAAAGGTTAGGAAAAGAACTAATACTTATATTGAATATTTCGGGGTCAGGGTTTAAGGGTTTTATTTGTCTGTTCAGTTTTCTCTTCAATTGATTAAAAAAAAGAAACGTTCTCAAACCTTTAGCATAAACAAGAACTCAAAAACAAAAATATTTTTTTTACTAGGTTAACTGGTTTAACTTATCTGTTAAGACAATAGTTTTGGTTTTGATTTTGATTCTGGTTGTGGATCTTTTAAAACTAAATAAAGAAACGTTAGTCTTTCCTGATACTTAGTTTTTTAGTACGATGTGAAATAGGAACCTTTCATTGCCCCCGACAACCTTGTCGTCGACCAAAACAAACATTGCCTGCAGGTTTGTTCC